TCCCCTTTTCATTCTTAACTCTAGTACACATACTTAAACCAATCTATATTCATTTATTTCATCTTAAACCTCAAATCCTATCTTCCATATGAGATTCAAAAATCATACCAAATTTTCAATGTGTTCTAATTCCAATTCTAACACTTCATACTTCTTAATTAGATTGATGACAAGTCAAATTCATCCCTAAAACTTCAACAACCATACCATATCAAAATTTCATCTTAAAACTCATATTGCAAATTCCTTCATAATTCCTTTATCTTATTGTTTAAATCCCATATAAGCTTTCCTTAAGCTTATTTAATACCCAAAGAATCAAAACTAAGCTTAAAACTTAAGAATTAACCAACTGAAATTAAACTTACCTTTGCCTTGCTCTCCCACATATGAAGAAGAAGAAAGGAGCAGAGAACTCTGGATGCTTCTCAAATGTCCCACGTTTATATTACCTTAAAAAAAATTATAAAAATCTTTCTGGTCAAATGACCATAATACCCTTAATTTCCTTTAATAATTACCAAATAACCTTCAATATATATATTCAAATAATCATTGAATTCTTTCATTCTTCTACTTTAGTCACCAAATTCTGAAACTTTACAATTTGGTCACTAACCCGGTATTGCGGATGTTACACTCAGTGTGTCCCAACATTTCCATAAAATGTCAATAGGTACAAATCATAGTCCAGTAATCTTACAAATTCGTAAAAAAGTTTAACTTTTGAAAATCATAGTTTAAACCCTTTTCTGGTACACCATCAGTAGTTCTCAAAATTATTTTCCATATAGCTTACTTTATGCACATAGCAAAAAGAAAGCCGACTTAAGGATAGGCTCTGAAGCTTGTATCCTTAAGCCCAAGTCAATAAGTCCATATAGCTTACCCAAAGCACATAGCAAAGGAAAGCCGACCTAATGAAACATCTTGGGGCCCTCAAGAGTCACATTAGGCCCATTTAGCTTGATCAGAGCTATTCCATCGTAATTCAATTCCAAAATTCAATTGCACCGTGACATAAATTCCATAAATCCAAAAACATGGTAATCATATACCATTTCAAAACAAAAATTAGATAGCAACCATATTCCATAAATTGTCACATTAAATTGGTGCATCCATAAAACAAAAACCAATGAATTCGGTGTACCACATATTAAAACCAATGAAACAGTTCAGTAATAAGTAGGGAACACACCTCGATAATAGGTTCAAATAGCAAATCTACTGATTGCTGGTTTCACCACGCTCTGCTACAGTTTTCAAACCTATTTAACAATAACACTATATTACCTATGAGTAATATAAATAGATCCCTAAAATCATAAAATTTACGGTCTTACGGGTGAATACTGGCACACGTGGTTTAACTGATATAGAAGAGCTGGGTCGAGCTGTCGAACGATCCGGAAAGTCTCTTGTACCTTTAAACAATAATAATTGATCAGCCTCAAATCTTATTTAATTGTTCAAAGCTAGAATTCTTAAATATCTAAGCATTTTTCGGTTTTGACTATCAATTTGGGGTATTTTGAGTCCTAATTTGGCCAAACGGATTGCGGAAACGGAATCAGGACGTCGAAAAATATAAAGTATGATTTTTCGAAAATTCAAATTCTTGGTCAAAGTCAAAGTCAACCACTTTGACCGTCGATTTGGAGTCCTTCGGGTTCGAATTTGACAAAACGGACAGCGGAAACGGATTTGGCACGTCGAAAACTATCAGGATAGGTATACTCGGAAAAGATTAACGGTCGTTTAATGCTCGGTCAAAGCCATTTTAAGTTTTGGTCAAAGAAAGTCAACGGTCAACGGTCAACGGTCAACGGTCGGGTCGGGTCGGGTCAACGGTCGGGTCGGGTCGGGTCAACGGTCGGGTCGGGTCAGACCGGTCAAACCGGTTCAGACCGGTTAAACCGGTTTCCAGCAGCCACTCGCCCTGCGGCGGCGCGTGAGGCGTCCTCCGGGGCCCTAAAAATCCCGGATTTCTAAAAATTATTTTGAGCGATTTCGAGATACTTACAACGATCGGTTCAAATTTTTGAACGGTGGAGAGCTCGATTTCAAATCGGCCGAATCTTTGAATGCACCACCTCCTCACGCGCCGCCGTCTACGGCGGACAAGGTTGACACCGGTGAACTCGGAACGGCACAAGGAACACGATGGTGCGGGAGGTGTCGTAAACGGAGCAACGATCAGCGGTGAATTTAAGATTTTCTCGGCGATAGAGCTAACAAAACCGTCGCTACTTTGACTGGAAATTCCCGACGTTTGGCCGCGTTTCGCTTCAATTAATTTGAAGGGTTTGTTCCTCGCTCGATGATGAACACAACGGTGGTTTCAAAACAACGATCGGAATTCGGACGGCGTTTAGATCGGACTTGAAAGTGGAGGTGTGAGAGGAAGAAAATTGAAGGAATAGCATTTGTGATTTCTGATTGTAAATCAGAAATCACGCTTAAATCATCAAGCCTACCGACAGTTTTAGGGGAAATTCAAGGCTTGGTCCCTGAATTTCTTTTACTTCGAAAATGGCATACAAGTTTCTATAAATTTTAATTTAGTCACTTAATTTCACCCATTTTCACAATTTACCTCCAATTTCAATTAATATTATTTTGTAAATATTCGGGTTGTTACAATCATGCACTTTGCAGCCCAAACTCATGTTGATAACTCATTTGGGAACAGCTTTGAGTTTACCAAGAACAATAACTATGGAACTCATGTCCTGCTTGAAGCTTGCAAAGTCACTGGCCAAATCAGGAAGTTCATCCATGTCTGCACAGATGAGGATTATGGGGAGACAGAAGAGGATGCTGTTGTAGGAAACCACGAGGCTTCCCAACTTCTGCCAACAAATCCATACTCTGCAACAAAAGCTGGTGCTGAAATGCTTGTAATGGCATATGGTAGGTCGTATGGATTACCCGTGATTACGACCCGTGGAAACAATGTTTACGGTCCCAACCAGTTCCCTGAAAAATTAATTCCAAAGTTTATTCTCATAGCAATGAGGGGGAAGACTCTTCCAATTCATGGGGATGGTTCTAATGTGAGGAGTTATTTGTACTGTGAGGATGTGCCAGAGGCATTTGAAGTCATTCTTCACAAGGGTGAAATTGGCCATGTTTATAATATTAGAACAAAGGAGAGGAGAGTGATTGATGTGGCCAAAGATATATGTACACTTTTTTCTATGGATCCGGAGACTAGCATCCAGTTTGTTGAAACAGACCATTCAATGACCAGAGGTATTTTCTTGATGATCAGAAACTGAAGAACTTGGGATGGTCTGAACGAACAGTATGGGAAGAGGGGTTGAAGAAGACCATAGAATGGTACACTCAGAATCCTGACTGGTGGGGTGATGTGTCCGGTGCACTGCTTCCACATCCAAGAATGCTGATGATGCCCGGTGGTAGACACTTAGAATCTGAAGAAGGAAAAGATTCATCATATGAAACTGGTCCTAATCAGACCCGAATGGTGGTTCCAACCTCCAAAACTAGCAGCTCTCCCTAAAACCAGGCTTGAAGTTCTTGATCTATGGCAGGACTGGCTGGATTGGAGATCTACTTGGTCAGTTATGTGAGAAACAAGGTATTCCTTTTGAATATGGAAGAGGGCGCTTGGAAGATCGTTCATCACTGATGGCAGATATTCAGAATATAAAGCCAACCCACGTTTTTAATGCTGCTGGTGTGACTGGTAGGCCCAATGTTGATTGGTGTGAATCTCACAAAACCGAAACAATACGCACCAATGTGGCTGGAGCCTTGACCTTGGCAGATATTTGCAGAGAACATGGGCTTTTGATGATGAATTTTGCTACTGGTGTATAATCGAGTATGATGCAGGACATCCTGAGGGCTCTGGCATGGGGTATAAAGAGGAAGACACAAAGACCAAAGCTATGGTAACTATGTTGTATATCTTTAATCTGATTCATTTTCTGTTAGTTTATGTCTTACGATCTCATAAATATCATCCATTTTTTTAGGTTGAAGAGTTGTTGAAAGAATACGACAATGTTTGCACTCTCAGAGTTCGAATGCCGATTTCTTCTGACCTAAACAACCCTAGCAACTTCATCACCAAGATTTTACGCTACAACAAGGTGGTCAACATTCCTAACAGCATGACAGTCTTGGATGAACTCCTGCCAATTTCAATTCGGATGGCGAAAAGGAACTTGAAGGGTATCTGGAACTTCACAAACCCCGGTGTTGTGAGCCACAACGAGATCCTGGAGATGTACAAAGCATACATTGACCCCAAGTTTCAGTGGGTGAACTTCACATTGGAAGAACAAGCCAAGGTGATTGTTGCCCCTCGAAGCAATAACGAGATGGACTCATCCAAGTTGAAGAAAGAGTTCCCTGATCTGTTATCAATCAAGGAATCACTGGTTAAGTATGTCTTTGAACCCAACAAGAGAAGCTGAGCCTATTAAAAGCAGGTTTCGGGTTTAGAACCGAGTATTGTCCTCTGCTTGCTGCTTCATTTTGTTATTTCCGGGAATATCACTTCAGTTTCATTCATTTGTTAATGTTGTCTTCTACCACATTAATTTTACTAAAAAAAACTATAAGGTATTACTATTAGATATTTCAATCATTCATCCTTACTAGCTTATGCTTCGGCCGTATCCTAGTAATTTTCAAGAAACCTTTCTATAGGTACTTTACAACTTGTCATGGCTTACAGGTGTGTATTATTTTGGCATTTCATTAGTTGAATATTATTACATAATACAAATCCATGTTACACATTATTTTAGGGGGGAAAAGATATCCTAACATGTTACACATTATATGCTTCAATAAATCGGCTAAAGATCCAATCATTCACCAACTACAGTTAAATCCCATGCAAATCCATCTGACCCATTTCCCCATAGGCATCTAGCATAATTACTCGCACTACGCAATCAGAATCACTAGTGGTTCTCAATTCCATCGAATAATTGTGTTTCTACTCGAGGGGAAAAGATATGGCGAAGTCGTCTCACATGATATCGGTTTTACCTGTATTTCAAACAGTTTTCAGCTCGCGTAACTGCGTCTGTTAGAACATCGATTGTCCAATCTTCAAGTCCTCCTGCATACAACAAGAAAATCTGAACAAGTTATTTGATATTACCAATTTACCATCAAATAGAAAAGAGAATAGATTCATATAATCATTCATCAAACACAATTGAGTACCAGATATGTGGCAAAGTCTTCTCGTATGATATTGGTTTTATTTTTTGTAGACACTCATTTCCGTCCGAATTTTTTTATTATATATATATATATATATATTAATATAGTGTAATTTTTGAATATTTTTATTAAAAAAACACTTTTTGAAAATATATATAATATATATATTTTGAAAACATTTTAAAATATATATATAATATATAGTTTTTGAAAACATTTTAAAAAACTTATATAATATATATAGTTTTGAAATCATTTTGAAAAACTTATATAATATATAATTTTGAAATCATTTTGAAAACTTATATAATATATAGTTTTGAAAACATTTTTGAAAATATATATAATATATAGTTTTGAAAATATTTTTGAAAACTATATAATATATAGTTTTGAAAACATTTTTTAAATATATAATATATAGTTTTAAAATATTTTTTGAAAAAATATATTATATATTTTTTGGAAATATATATTTTATATAATATTATTATTATTATTATTATTTATTATATATATATATTTTTTTTGTCCAGGGGTCCAAAGTGGGCAAGAGCCCAAGTCAATGTTCGGGTCTAACAGATACCCAATCGGATTTGGGCTCGACCCAACCCAATCCCAAATAGGGTTTACACGTTCAGCATCACGCCGCATGGGGGATAACAGGTCACACGCGTGAAGGCCATGCGCCAGCACGTTTCAACGGCGCCAAGATTTTCGGCCAAGGAAATCGGGACTGACCCATCCTGAAATCCTTGGCCAACAACGAGCATATAACCATGATAATCGGAAACGACCACCGGTGGAGGGGGTATAAATACCCCCACCAAACCACGACAAAAGGGGACACAGATCGAAACCATCGAAACACAGCAAAGCCAAACAACCAATAGTGGAACAACACAATCGAAACATCAAACCAAGATCGGAAAGACACCATCAACAACGGAACCAACATCACGAAAAACAAAGCCGAAAAATAATAACATCGAACCACAAAAAACCCACAAATACAAACACACAAACACAACATCAAAATACCCAGTCGTATACAAAATAACGAAGGAAACAAGCACAAGAAGCCCCGATCTGAGCGTCGGAAGGAGAGGGGACACCGGAAGTCGAAAGGTTCGCCGGGAAAAGGTAAAAAGCCGATGACTTAAACCTATATCTATGTCGATTCGTGGAGGTTTTGGGGATTTGGTCTTTGGTTTTGAGTTCACGGGGTCGTGAGGAATATTTGGGGAGAAGCAAAATGTGAAAATGAGAGGGGGATGGCCATTTAGGGCCGAATGTGGGATATTTATATCCCTCCCTAAATGATGTCGTTTTGGGGAGGGATCTCTGTGTAATTTTGAGAATGGGCAAATTACACCCTCGGTCCTTGTAAGTTGTATTCTCTACAATTTAGCCACTGAATTTAATTTTCAGTATTTTAATTTGGATTTCGAATTTATTATGTTTACATTTTAATCCTTAATTTATGTTTTATTCGAAAATGGCCTAGGAATTTATGCATGTTTTAATTTAGCCACTATTTTTTTCCTTTTTTGATTTAGCCACTATTTTTTTAATTTTTGTGTTTTGATCCTTATTTATTTATTTATTTTTCATTTTTTTGTTAATATTTATTTTCTTAACACTTTTCCATTTTTATTTTTTTATTTCAATATTTAACCTTTTTTAATTTTTAAATTTTATTTCGTTTTTTATCTTTTTTTTGTTTATTTTATTTTTATTATTTTTTTACTAAATTTTATTTATCTCTATTTATTTTATTTTATTATTATTATTATATTTTTATTTTATATTTTTTTTATATTTTTATTTATTTTATTTTTCCTTTGACTTATTTTTTTATTATTATTTTTTCCTTTAATTTTTATTTAGTTTTTTCTTTGACTTTTTTATTTTTATTTTTTTCTCTTTTTTTTCCTTTGATTTATTATTTTTATTTGTTTTTATTTGTTTTTTTTCTTTGATTTATTCAATATTTATTTATTATTTTTTTATCTAACATTTTTTGACTTTTTTAGAAGAATTTCAACTAATCAAAGGTAAGTAATTTGAATTGAATATTTTAATTTTTAATTTTTAATTTTTCGCAATTAAGACAACCGACAACTTAATTGGTACTGAAATGGTAGTACAAGGGTGTTTATCATTCATTGACTGTAACCGACTCCCGAACCCGACACATCTCTAGTAAAACGCATATCAGGTAATATGGTGTCCGATCAGCCCAAATATTTTTTTTTAAATGATCAGTGGCGACTCTAACCCATTATTTTCAAGTCGAAGTCTAACTCCGAGCCCAACCGAAAGACGGTCGTGACACTTATGTTTCATACAGTTTTCAGCTCTCGTAACTGCATCAATTATCCAATTCTTCAGGTCCTCCTGCATAAAAGAAGAAAATCAGGATAAGGTATTTGATATTATCATAAAAAGGAATGGATTATATATTCGTCCATCAAACAAAATGGAGTACCAGATATGTGGCTTACCATATGCAGCGGTTCTTTGTTCTAGTTTTTGCATTTGGACGAGCAAGCTCGGATTCGAAAGGAGTTCTTGGTCTGACTTCTCTAATTTCTTCCCACTCCTCACGAGTAAGCATCCTGACCGCGCCTTGACCAGGAGGAGCATTCTTTATCTTCTGCTCAATCATTTCCTGGGATCTAGATTCATCATGCTGCCAATGCACAAAATATCAACATGAAAATTTCTCCACATTCGTTTGTAAATGCTAAACAAGAGCGCTCAATGAGACATGCAATTGTCAGAAGACAATCCATAAAGCCTCAAAACAGAACAAATTAAGGTGTAACGATGAGTATTTTGGGAGGTCCATATCCTGTTTCATTCGGGCAAGAAGATTATGTGACTGAAGACAGAACATGAAAAACAATAAAAAATCACCAAGCTCATTCTATAACTACTGTCGAATTCCTAGTTCGAATCATGTTTTCCTCCCGATTCCGGTATTGAGTCATTGTGTAGAATGTTGAAACGAAGTCTGGTGCGTTAACCAGAGTGAACATTATCAATAAGGATTTCTAAAAACTGATTGAACCATGAGCTAAGAATAAAGTTCCAGTTCTTTTAGCAGTGATTATTCCACTCTACATTGCATTATCCATACATGACAATATAAGATATCGAGCTTTGCACGCTCGATACACCGTTCTCAAACTGACCAGCAAGGGGCAATAATCAAACGACGTAAATGACAGAGAATTCCTAGTAAAAACATGGATCAAAAGAAAGAACCATCATGAGCAGCTTCGCAAAAACTGCAATTCCAGCTACGGCCGAAAGAACCATCGACAGTGTCACCGTATCTAGAAAGGATCTCGATTCGGGAACCTCCACAAACAACTGATCCTTTCTGGTATTCCGCCTTTTCCTCGTCTTCCCAACTTCAGCAACCTTTATCTTCAAGGTTTCGGAAGGACCATTGCGGGATAAAGCATGAAAAATCTCCTAAACAAGTATGAGTTTAGACTAACCCTATTCATGTCACAACCCCATTTTAAATTAAAAATTAATTTTAGTTAATGTAGGGACTAAATTTCAAGTTTTCCTTGGTTTTGAATATGTAAAAAGTTTAGAGACTTAATCCTAAATATTCTCATTTTTTCTAATCAGTGGAAAAATAAAAAAATTGAATTATGTGACTAAGGTTTCAAACTCGTATCCCGGTTGCCCCATGCCTTAGCCATTTGGGCTAGGACACTATTAACATGGAAAATAAGTAATATATATTTTATTTGTTTAAAGCATGGTGTATAACCTGAAATTTTCCCTCATTTTCATAAATCAAAAACCTCAAATTCTTAAATTTCCCAACCCCAATCCTTAGCTGCCGCTCCTTCACCGATTCCTCGCCGTCCGATCATCTTTGGAGTGCACCGCCGCTAACATTTGATTCACCGCCGTCCGACGACCAAAACCCTTCTAATCCGGCTCTGAAATTTGTCGTCGTTCGTTGTGGGGGAGCTCACCAAGGAACTGTCAAAACCCCCTCGGTCGCTCAATTTTTCCTCAATTATGGCCGTTTAAGGTGTTGGTTCGCCTCACCGCCGCCACCATTGAACTCCCCACCTCTGTGCGCTCAAACCCCAACTTGTGTGTCACGTCAACGTCACCGGTTTTGTCCGTCCGCCGTCTGGGTAAGTGTTTCAGCCTTTTGCTTTTGATTCTGATGGTTTTAGCTGGTTTTGAGTGTTGATACAGCTTGGTATTGATGTTTTGGTGATCTCGGAGTGCTCGACTGCTACCCCGACAATGTCACTACAGCCTCGTGCGCGTGGGGCTCTTTTGTAGGTCCATTCAGACTGAACCAGATCAAGCTGAGTCAACTCGTTAAACCAACTCTTTGAGTCAAACAGTTGAGTCAACTCAAATAGAGTCAACTCGTTGACTTTGACTGATCATTGACTTACCATTAACCTGACTGTTTACTTTGTCCAAAAAGTCAAATTTTCTGAAAAGTCATATTTTATGTTTTTCGATGTTCTGACCGTCAAATTTGAATTTCGTTTTGTCAAATGCGAACCCGAAAGCCTCCAAATTGACCGTCAAACACGAGCATGCATATGTACTTAAGTATTTTGTTTAAGGAATAATCAAATTAAGGTTAATAATTGATCTAAGATATTGTTATTTGAAGGTACACGAGACTCTCCCGACCGTTCGACAGCACGACGTAGTTCCTCTCGATCCATTCGACCTCGTGAGCCAGTGATTACTCGTATGACCCGTGAATCCTATTAATACGTAGATTAAAATTTTACTTCGATATTAACTCGGTTATTTATGAATTAGGTTTAAGCACTGCTGTAGAGAGTGGTGAGACATGTGCTGAGTAGACTGCTAACTGATTTGTTTTGCTAGGTGTGTTTCTTATGTGCTATATGATTGTTTTATCTGTTTTGAAATGTGATTTTTCCAAAATTACTGAATCTTTTATCAAATCGACGTTACAATTTACATATTTACTCGTTGACTGTTTATGAACTATGATTATTTGATATATGTTATCTGGCTACTTGCTCTTACTGGAAATATGATTTTGCCGATTATGGATCATGGAATTTACTGCTTACTGTGTGAATTGTTCTATTGAGATTTTATTTTGGGTAGGATACTGGAGTACAGAGGTTTAGATCTGATCAAACTGGTAATTCCTTACGGACCTAAGGCGACCCTAGGGTAGGCTCTATGGCCCCAAGAACTTTCTTAGGTAGGCTCTCAGGCCCCAATGTGCTCCCTTAGGTTTGCTCCTATACCCAATGGGTATAGGGTAAGTCCTTATGGATTATTTTTGGGGACTGCATTTCAATGTACTAGAGGAGAGTAGATATGAATTTTAAACTATAAAATCTCACTGAATACCTTATGCTACATTACTAAATCATTTTCTGACTACTTTAAAACAACGTTTTATTTGCACTATTGGGACATACTGAGCTCCCTAACTCACTCTCCAAACTCTTCCTCTTTCAGATAATTTTGGATAGACACCCCTGACTTGGCATTTGGAAGATCGACACATTACTTACAGTAATTTTTGTCGTAATGTTTCTATTTTTCAAAACTGCCCTTATTCGGTGACATGTGCCTTTTTTATTTTGTGTTACATGTTTTATATCGTATTTTAATTTACTACTGATGTATGGGTTATTGGGATATTCAGTTTATGGTTTACTTTCGACATTCTATACTTTGTTATACACTTAATATTTTATGTCTTATATTATTTATTCTAACTTATTTAGTATTACTATGACTTAAGTTATTTTAATATCGTTAGCGTAAATTGCTAGATCTAGTCATAACGTATAGGCTGGGCTAGGTCTAGGGGTTACAATTCATGTTACCTACAAAATGATATAATCTATTCATTGCCTTGGGAAATTATGTTTCTATCGGTAAAAACCACCTGCTATTAAAAAGAAAGCAAAGAATTTGAGTAAAATCAAGCTTATGAATTTGGATCTTAAACTGTTAGAAGTGAAGAGAATGAGGTCCAGTCGAGAATCAATAGAGAACGAAAATTTAAGTAAAAGTTGATTTTTTTCCAATCTTTGGAAGCGATATAAAGAAACTAGTTTAGCTAATGAATCGAACAATCAAAATATCAATGCAATTGCTAAAGAGTACTGACAAATGCAACAGTGGGAAATCAGGCAAAATACAATAACAAGAAGAAGAAGATGATGATGATTACCTGCAGCAACCGGAGATCTTCGCTAGCTGAGCCTAGGGAAAATGAGAAGAGGACGATTAGTGGCCCATGGGGCCCAACAACATTGGGTAAAGCTTGGGTATTTTAGTCCATTAGATGGGGCATGAATTATTTTTTATTTTTTATTTTTGATTAAACTTGTCGGAACTGTCTTTCGGTTGAGCCCCATAATTGGGCTTCGACTTAGGAAAATGAATTGGAGTCACCACCGATTTTTTATTTTACAGCAAATGGGTAGATCGGATACCTTATTTCTTACATGATCTGTGTCTTACCAAAGATGTGTCGGATTCGGGAGTCGGTTACAGTCAAGGAAGTGTTAGCACCCTTGAACTGCCCTTTCGGTACTACGTAATTTCCAGTTGTCTTAAGTTATGAAAATTATAAGTCTAAATTAAAAGGTAAAATAACGATCCAAATTACTTACCTCTAATATTTTTAAAAGTGTACCCTTACAAAAGTCAAGAAATGTGTTAAAGAAAAATTGAAAATAAATAAAATTGAGAGAGAGAAAGGAAATGCAGAATTCAACATGAAAATAAAAGATAAAGAAAATAAAAAGGAATAAAAACAAAGACAAAAATAAAAATAAAAAACATAAAATAATAAATAAAATACTAAAAATCTATATACAATCAACAAATAAAAACAAGAAGAAAAGAAATAACATGAACATCAAAAAAATAAATAAAAAAAATAAAAAAATAAAAAATGAAAATAAAGTAAAAAAGAAATAAAAATATACATATATACAATATAATGTAAAAAAAATCAAATAACTAATATATATATAGTAACAAAAATATTAAAAGTATATATACACTACGATAAAATATAGTAATGGTATAATATATATATATATATATATATATATATATATAGTAGTGATATAATATATATATACATATATTAAAATACCAAAAGAAGTGATAATAAATAAAAAAATGAAAACAAAATAATAAAAACAATAAATAATAAAAATATAGATAATTAAATATAGATAATAATAAATATTGTTTAAATAAAATAATAATAATAATAAAATATGAAGGGGCCAAATTGAATAAAAAAAGAATTGGGGATCGATTTTAGGAGACATTAGGGGTGATAATGGAAGAATTAAAATAAGCGGGGTCAAAAAAATAGGATTTACCCATTTTGCTTACAAAACACGCGGATCCCAGGGTATATGGGTCGGGTCGGTGGGTTGGATCGGGTCCAGCATAAAAGCCACTTTTTTTTTGCTTAATTTCTCATTTTCCTCTTCAAAAAAACCGAAACCCCCTCCCCTATTCTCAAATTCTCTCAAATGTTCTTCAAAAATAAAGAACATGGTGGGGTTCTTCAAGAACCCAGAAATCGGCCAACATGCGTCGCCTTGTCGCCGCCGTTGACCGACGCACCACCGTCATCGGAAACGAAAAAATTATTATTTTTTAAAAAAAACCTCGAAAACTCCTTTTGTTCCCACTTCAAAAAATCAAAAACTATTTTTAAAAAAAATAGCCTCGGGGTAGATCTAGGTTTGAAATTTCGAAACCCACCCCTTTCTTGGTCACCGACCGAATGATTTCAGGGTTTTACAGATCGAAAGCAATAGCAATCGAAGCATGCAAATGGACCAAATCGAAAAAAGGTAAAAGAGATACCTTTATATTTATTCTTCTTTCGAATACAAATCTTAAAAATAGCCTAGTTTCTCACTGCTTTTGCTTTCGTAACACTTGCAACTTCTCTGAAATTTGCTTGTATATTTCGTGTCACCATCCGTGTGTTTACAATGCTTTATTTATAGGAGAAAAAAAATCTATTTTTAGTCTCCTAATATGACTGATCTACTGTTGTTGGTTGCGTTTGTTGTGGGTGTCGAGATCTCCGGCGTGGGACTCGAGTTGTTAGAGGCGTGAGGAAGGCGTGCGAAAAGAAGACTGCGACGCTGGTGGAGAGACGAGTGGACTAGGGTTGCTTGGAGGCTGGTTTGGGTAGGGTTCTACGCGGGCTGCTCTAGCGGGTTCGGTTTAGGCACACCGGGTCGCGTCTTGGACTAGGTCACATGTAGCTGGACCACACGTTTTGGTCTTTGGGTTGTTGCTGGACCATTGTTGTATTTGGGCAACCTTGTAATGGGCCTTAATTGTGACATTGGACCTGTGATATGTAATGAATCAATTAATAAATATAAATGCATATATTATATAATATAATTTACAATGTAAATACATTATATAATATAATAAAAGTTATAGACGAAATTAAGTGTATTCAACTACCCCTATTTGCTCATTATCGTGTAACGAAAATAGACCAAAGATAAAAAGACACAAATTTTGGCCATATCGAATATCCTCTGTCGTAGAGTTAAAATCTGATATTAAGACCGATTTGCCAATCCGAACTGAAGTATGAAATGACTTCCTCGCCGTGAGGTTGAGTTGGATTGGAAACTTCTAAGCACGATATCCTTCCTCGTAAAATTGAAATCGAACTCAAAGCTTTGACCAGTAGTTTCTGGATTGTCTTCTTACTCAAGATACTTCGTCGTGAAGGTGAACCTTGTCCTGAAGACTTCGGTGTTGCTGTGTTACAGATGACTCATTCGTCGTGAAGTTGGGTCAATCTGTTGGGGTACGATACCCTTTGTTGTGAAGCTGTAATTGTATATAGCCCTTTCGTCGTGAAGTTAAGCCTTGGAATTTGATATCCTTCATCATGAAGTTGAAATCCAATGTAAGTTGTGCTATTTCAAGGCCAATATTCTTCGATGTGAAGTTGAAATTGACTCTGAATTTGGAAAGTTTGTTGACAGACACTCCTTCTTTAAGTTGGATATCATTCGTCGTGAAGTTGAAATCGTGGATGGCCCATTCGTTGTGAAGTTGAGCATCGAATTGGATATCCTTCGTTGTGAATTTGAAATCTAGTGTGATGCGTTGTATTGTTTTGAGTCCAATATCCTTCGCCGTGAAGTTGAAATTGACATTGAATGAAACTGGGAAGCCCCTTCGCTATGAAGTTAAGCTTTGAATTTGATATCCTTCGTATTGAAGTTGAAATCCAATCTAGAGATGTGCACGATATCCTTTGTCGTGAAGTTGAAATCGTGGATTTGTGGGTACGATATCCTCCGTTGTGGAGTTGAAATCGTGGATTTGTGTGTACGATATCCTCAGTCGTGGAGTTAAAATCGTGGATGACCCATTCGTCGTGAAGTTGAGCTTCGAATTGGATATCATTTGTCGTGAAGTTGAAATCCAATCTTGTGTAGTTCCGATTCTAATATCCTTCGTTGTGAAGTTGAAATTGAATCTGAATGAAACTTGAAAGTTGTTTGTTGACAGATAACCCTTCTAGTCTTTAGTTATGCTGTAAATGAGGCGCCTTGGAGCTGGGTGTAATCGAACTCGAAGGTCTTTGGCAGATAGCCCTTCTTGCCTTGAGCTACGCTGCAAATGATGTGCCTTGGAGCTGAGCGTAGTCAAACTCGAAGGTCTTTGGTTGGCACATAACCCTTCTAGCCATGAGTTATGCTGCAAATGATATGCCTTAGAGCTGAGCGTAGTCGAACTCGAAGGTCTTTTGGTGGCAGATAACCCTTCTAGCCTTGAGTTATGATGTAAATGATATGCCTTGGAGCTGAGCGTAGTCGAACTCGAAGGTCTTTTGGTGGCAGATAGCCCTTCTAGCCTTGAGTTATGCTGCCAATAGTTTCTTTAAAAAATGGCTTCCCTTCACAGGTCTAAGCCGATCATAATTCTTCAGGTTGTTCCTCTGAGTGAGTCTGAGCCATGTAATATGATTTTTGGATGACTCCCCTTCACGGGAAAGCCCACTGATAAATTATGTCAACTGGATATCTTCCCGTCGTGGAATTGAAATATGGCTTGAAAATATTAACTGGAAACCTGCTACTTGTTATTGAGTTTAGCTGATCTGGATTCGTTCTGAATTGGCTCTCGAACCCATTTGAAATTGATTCTGAGATCTGTAGATATGTCAAGTCGGTTGAGGTGTAGTTTCTCACTATTGAGTCAAGCAACCACCATCGATCTTTAAATGAGCTTTCGAATCGAGTATCTTTCGTTATGAAGTCGAAACTTGACTCTGAAAGCTGTAAAAAATTATGTATGCTAAAAATGATAGATGTGATGCTGTTAAGTATGTCTAAGATGCATGCAATATGAATTAATTCTATTTTATCTCTTGGATGGAGCCTCATTTTGTCTTCTGGTCTTGTCTTTGGAATCGACCATGCCCCATTTGTTTTTCAGGATGTTGACGATGTCACAAGGTCTCTTGAATTGATTGTTTTTAAGAGCATTGTTCGTTATTTCTTTAATAGAGACAAAATGAGCCTCAACAGCTTCCAAGACTTTTCACATTTGAGACTGTCCTGTTTGAAAATGTTTTTCTCCTTTCTCTTATTTTAAGAGGGAAAATATATGAGAATATATAAATTCTATAAAACATTGCTCCCAAATTCAGGCTTGCAATCGAATCAAATCATAAACATGAGTTCAAAGTATATCAAAGGCATCAATAGCTCTTTTAATGCTTTCAGAGTTATAGCTCTTTGACAAATGTTCAAATGGATGAGTTAGCTTTAGGTTGGCCTCCTATTTTCTAATGTTTCAGCCATAAAAAATATCATTTTTTCGGTCATTGCAACATGCCTTTCTCTTGGCCTGGCATTTTAATTGGATGCGGACAAAATGACGCAAGTAGCATGATCAATTACTAGACCTTCTATTTCGATTCTGTGAAATCTTCCATTTATTCAAGGTTTGTAAGCTCCTCTAACAAAGGTAGTGCATAAATATCGGTCTAAAATGAAATTCTTGAGTGCTCGTGTGAATTTGACTATAACAGGTGTTCCTTAACTCCTTTAGTCCATTTTTACTGAAACTCCTTATTTAAACTTGCCATTGTCTGGCTAGTTGAATCCATAAAGTCGGGGCGTTTAACCAATTTCTTTAGAGGGACAGCTTAATATCATTGTATATATATTATAATTACCTTTATCAGGCTAGCTGAATATTATCCATGAAGCCGAGGCGTTTAACCAATTGCTCTAGAGGGACAACTCAAGTTTTATCGTATATTATAATCACCTTTATCAGGCTAGCTGAATCTTATCCATAAAGCTGGGGCGTTTAACCAATTGCTCTAGAGGGACAACTCAAGCTTTATTATATTTATAATAGTATAATCTAGGTATACGGATCCAATTTCTTAAGTTTGTCAAGAAAAACCTGTTATAGTCTAGGTGTTGTTAAAAGTCAAGGAATATCGTCTTTATAGTTCAATTTCCAAGAAACTAACCTAAACTAGATTTGCTAACTCGACTATTACATCTGTGAAGATCATTATCATCATTGAATGTCTTAAACAAAAAGTATAGTAATGTCAAATGTAAAAGATGCCCCATGTTGTCGCACCTATGCACATCTAAATACCAAGCCTTATGAAGTGAGAATGTTATATTGGTTATTTGCAAGAGAAGGGTAAGGTGTTTGAGTGTATCTTTCTGAAGTAAGGTCAAAAGTCCTTGTTGTATCCATTTTTTATCGTATTACTTTGTCAAAGATCTATAACTCTGATCACTTACAGAGTTTTTTAATCCATTTGATATTCAAAGAATTTCAAGTTGTAAAGTTGATTCAATGCTCCACATAAATTCATTTAAATATCCATATAAAAAGAAAGTTCACAAATAAGTTCCAAATATGAGAAAGTTCAAAAATAAATTCAAACAGGATGCCACGAAATGGAATAAGGCCTCATTTGGATGCCCCACTAGATGGATTAGAGCTTTCATCTGCACTTGTTCCCCAATTCTCAATTGTTTCACTTGCTGGGACTCTTTTTGATGTACCCCCAGACGTACAAACTTATGCTTCCTCTCGAGCAACTTCTTGGGAATATCCTACTTCCTTGGGATATATCAACTTTTCTTTTCCTGATTGCTGGAAATTGGGCCCAAATTTAAATCCAAAACGATTTTCCTCGGTGGTGATAGTTTTGGTCGGATCTTGAACGCATATTGCAACTGTGATTGGCATAATATTCGTCAAGCCTCCTGAGCTGCCCAAAATCCCTATTGCCTTCAGGAAATCTGATATAGGTGTTTAAGGTGTTTTCGAAGCTGCATCTGCCCCACTAATTCTTAAACCCATGGGCCAGTCTCTGACTACATCCACAAAAGCTTTTTTACTCGGATTTCTTTTTCGATCATCTTACGCCTTAGTTTTTTCGCATGAATCTTCTGTTGAAGTAGTTTGAGGTGTCTTATTGGTTATATCTGCCCCATCCATTCTCAAACCCATGGGCCAGTCTCGGATTACATTTTTTTTCCTTTTATGTTCTTCACATGCATTCTCCGTTGAATTGACGACTCCCGAGTTTTAGACCTTTATCCCTTTCTCTTCTACCTTGCACTCCTGTATTTCTTGTTCTAAAGGATCCTCAGGGTTGCCAGAAACTTTAGCTGAACAAACTGGGGTTCTATCCTGGTTTACCCAAGGAATCTCTGTGTAGGTCTATTTCTTATTCGGGGGCCACTATGGCTAGATATATCCCGGTGTAGTCAAATCGACTGTGAGCATTTCTGAACGTAATTTTTCAAGTGCAAAGTGGAAGGGAGGGAACTAAAAACCCTGCACTTTGTTTTTCTTCTCATTTAGTCCCCATGACAAGAGACTATTTGGCAATGACTTTATAGATAGAACTTGAGTGACATGTCTTGATGATTGAAAAAGGGTAGAACCTCTAATCATGAGAGGTTGATCTTTCTTGGTCAATATTCGATCATATTCTATGACATTCTTCTTAGAGTGAAGCTTATCTCTCACAAGGGAAAACTCCTCCATGGTTGGCCCAGTGGAACCTTCTATAACCACATTTGGTTTTTGGGCCAGACCTGAAATATCTGGTTCCTTAATAGGTCCTCTGGTCATTATCGTTTCAGTTTCAGTACCAGCATTCATTAGTCTCATCCAAAATGGGATCCACTAATGGCTTTTCTCCATGGATTACAACATTTATCATATCCATTAACTTGGTCATTTGTTCTTTGGATTCATCCTAAAATCTTCTTGCTTGATCAATCATCTCTCGTTGGGTTTTTATAAGTTGCTCTTGAATTTTCTCGATCTTACTAACACGCTCTAGTATCTCATTCATTGCTGTGGATCTTCAGACATGCTTCAGGAAATCTTCAATTTTCTTTCAAAGCTTGTTTGTTCATTTTTATTAGACACCTCTTGTTAGTTAATGTGGATGAAATCAAAAAACGGAAAAGAAAATAAAAATAATGTGGAATATACAAGAATGCATGATGCATGAAATGATCGAGGCATTGATCAAAAAAATGTGTCTGTTATTATAAATAATCCTTATTGGGGGAAAAAGTGTTACATCTTTAAGAGACAAAAAACATTTTGATGGTATAGATCTCGAACAAATTCGAACTGGTTGATTCATCTTCAATCTTTTCCTATCACTGGTTGAATGCCCTGTTGAACTGTTCGACTCCTCGGTATAAGCCGTGCAAGTGACGAGCTGCTTGCCCAAAAAAAGTCTCGAAGGACTACATCTCCGGCTTTCACTTTCTGTTGAGTCTATTCCCAACGAAAGTGCCACTGGAGCCCTCCATCGATGAGAACTATCTGAAGCTTGCTTCTTGAATTTGTTAACAATAGCCTCTAATTTTAGCTATCGTTTTGTCATTTTGTTCTTGTTGTCTTTGAAAGGACTCTCCAGGTCAGCAACCTTTTCCTCGTCTTGCCCCTGCAACCTTTACAGCTCAAAAAGTTGACGTTTGATGTGCACAATGGAAATCCCGGTTCATCCTGAGTATTCTCTGACCATGGCTGGACTTCTGAGCTTTTCATCTCCTGTATTATAACCCTTTTGTCCATTAATACAAATTATTTATGTTTAAAAAACATGTTTTTAGTGGACCAACACCTCTTTTAAATGATTGAAATGCTAGAAAAAGACAAACACTAAAACAAAAAGTTAGTAAAAATAATAAAAGAAATATATATGATGAAATAAAGGAAGAAAAGTGAAAAGACAAGCAAACAACATGATTAGGGGTAAAAATATCCTAGGGTTTGTAATAGGGTTTTGGGGTAGGCTTTATTTCTCCATAGTCTCCCGGTTTAGGTTCTAAAACCGGTACCCGAGTTATCCTTACTGGTGCCCTCTTGGGCCTGCTAGACCCTTAGTCATAAGCTCATTACAAGCTTATGTGGACTAAGTTAAACTCGAGAGGAAACATTTCTTTATACTCATACGGAGAATAAATTCACACGAAAGCATAAGGTATATGAATCCCGAAGGTTACTTGCTAGGCCCATACGGAGAATAAATTCTCACGGGAGCGTCGCTTTCACCCCTACTTAAATAGGGTTTGGAGCTCGGTTATACAGCCTTAGATGAAAAACAAGTTTGGAAGGCTGAAATCATTAGAAAACGATTAGTACAACTATTTACTTGAAAATATAATCAAAAGTAAACAATAAGGATCGAAATGTTACCTTAAAATTTAAATTTACCATTTTCGTTAAAAAGACAACTGGAAATTACCTTAGCCTGACTCACTTACTTGTCCCCAGCGGAGTCGCCAAGCTGTCGGAATCGTCTTTCGGTTGGGCCCCGGAATTGGGCTTCGACTTAGGAAAATGAATTGGAGTCGCCACCGATCTTTTATTTTAGAGCAAATGGGTAGATCGGATACCTTATTTCTTACCTGATCTGCGTCTTACCAAAGATGTGTCGGATTCGGGAGTCGGGTACAGTCAAGGAAGGGTTAGCACCCTTGAACTGCCCTCTGATAGTTTTAAAAGTGTACCCTTACAAAAGTCAAGAAATGTGTTAAAGAAAAAGTGAAAATAAATAAAATTGAGAGAGAGAAAGGAAATACAGAATTCAGCATGAAGATAAAAGATAAAGAAAATAAAAAGGAATAAAAACAAAAATAAAATAAAAACATAAAATAATAAATAAAATAGTAAAAATCTATATACAATCAACAAATAAAAACAAGAAGAAAAGAAATAACATGAACATCAAAAAAATAAAGTAAAAAGAATAAAAAATTAAAAGAAAGTAAAAAGAAAGAAAAATATACATATATACAATATAATGTAAAAAAAATAACAAATAACTAATAAATATATATATAGTAACAAAAATATTAAAAGTATATATACATAACGATAAAATATAGTAGTGGTATAAATATATATATATATTAGTGATATAATATATATATATATATATATATATACATAGATTAAAATACCGAAAGAAGTGATAATAAATAAAAAATGAAAACAAAATAATAAAAACAATAAATAATAAAAATATAGATAATAATAAATACATTGTTTAAATAAAAAATAAATAATAATAATAAAATATGAAGGGGTCGAATTGAATAAAAAATAGAATTGGGGATCGATTTTAGGAGATATTAGGGATGATAATGGAAGAATTAAAACAAGCGGGGTCAAAAAATGGGATTTACCCATTTTTCTTAAAAAACTCGCAGATCCCAAGGTATATGGGTCGGGTCGGTGGGCTGGATTGGGTCCAGCATAAAAGCCATTTTTTTGCTTAATTTCTCATTTTCCTCTTCAAAAAACCGAAACCCCCTCCCTATTCTCAAATTCTCTCCAATGTTCTTCAAAAATGAAGAACATGGTCGGGTTCTTCAAGAACCCAGAAATTGGCCACCATGCACCGACTCGTCGCTGCCGTTGACCGGCGTCAGCCACCGTCATCGGCGGCGAAAAAAAATTATTATTATTTTTTTAAAAACCTCGAAAACTCCTTTTGTTCCCACTTCAAAAAAAATATTTTAAAAAAGAAATAGCCTCGGGGGTAGATCTAGGTTTAAAATTTTGAAACCCACCCTTTTCTTGGTCATCGGTCGAACGATTTCGGGGTTTTACAAATCGAAAACAATAGCAATCGAAGCATGCAAATGGACCAAATTGAAAAAAGGTAAAAGAGATACCTTTATATTTATTCTTCTTTCGAATACAAATCTAAAAAAATAGCCTAGTTTCTCACTGTTTTTGCTCTCGTAACACTTGCAACTTCTCTGAAATTTGCTTGTATATTTTGTGTCGCCATCCGTGTGTTTACAATGCTTTATTTATAGGAGAAAAGAAATATTTTTAAACTCCTAATATGATTGATCTACTGTTGTTGGTTGCGTTTGTTGTGGGTGTCGAGATCTTCGGCGTGGGACTCGGGTTGTTGGAGGCGTGATGAAGGCGTGCGATAGGAGACTACGACGCTGGTGGAGAGACGAGTGAACTAGGGTTGCTTGGAGGCTGGTTTGGGTAGGGTTCCACGCGGGCTACTCCAGATGGTTCGGTTTAAGCACACGAGCTCGCGTTTTGGACTGGGTCACTTGTAGCTGGACCGCACATTTTGGTCTTTGGGTTGTTGTTGGACCATTATTGTATTTGGGCAGCCTTGTAATGGGCCTTAATTATGACATTGGACTTGTGATATGTAATGAAACAATTAATAAATATAAATGCATATATTATATAATATAATTTACAATGTAAATACATTATATAATATAATAAAAGTTATGGACGAAATTAAGTTTCTTCAAAACTAAAAGTGATTATAAATTAAAATATGTTTCAATTACTCTCAATTCATTTGACGATTATTTTAATCACTGAAATAAGAGAGAAAGATAATTTTTCCTTTATGTTATTTTTTATTATTTTAATTGAGTTTTGTTACAATAAAAAATAATAAAAATAAAATATTTCTTGCACGATTCCTTATATCCTCATATATATATATATATATATATATATATATATATATACAGTTACAGTTTATATTCATTAATAATATAAGCATAATTATTTAGTATATTCGTACCGGAATTTTAAACCCCAAAATAAAGTGTTAAAAGATATTACATGTTATTTTTTTTAACCATAAACATGTGCATCTACAAACGTAATTTTAAAAATACTTTTTTTAACCTTTGAGGTCACTTAATAAGTTTAAACTTATAAATAGAGTTAAAAGTATAGTCACTTGTCATAATTTTATCATTTTGTTTTTAAATATCAATTAAGAATTTCAATTTTAAATATCAATTATGGTTATGAAAGAATTTGTTATTTCGCTAGAAAAAAAATTAGAAACAACAGTTTCAACAATATATATAGATGTATATCCGCCTTTAATACTATAGGGCATGTTTTGATGAAGTTGCAGAGTGAAGAGAAACTGAAACCATAATTTTTAACATTCATACAGGTGTAAAAGCAATTGTAGCTGTTGTAAAAATGGCTGCAACAATGAAGCCAAAATTTTGTCGCCGTATATTGTTTTCCTTCCTAATATATATAGAGAGACCAATACAAACTATGCGGCGGTTTATTCATGTGCCGAAAACTTGAGTTTGCTCTCGGAAGGATGGGAGAATCGATGGAAGAAGGGCCAATAAACAGCGGTCTATCTGTCTCGAACATTAAAATACGCTTTTAGTTTGTTGTGTTCTGTCAGTTTCCGGTCATGCCAGAGAGATGGATTATTGCGCATGATCAAGAGCCATTTCCTAGTCTGTTCAGAAATGCGACCACATAATCAGATGAACCAAGCATATATCGAGCACTTGTACGAGTCCGTCCAACGGCACAGGAGAAGTAGTTATCTCCTTTGAGATCAAGCACGCTCCAGGCCATCTTTTCCTTTTCCGGTGATGCACGTCGTACGTTCCCACCACTATGGTTATTATTGCTGATTCTTCTATCAGGGGCAGGAGATGGACAGAGCGTCTTTGTCTGCGATGATTTTGCCCCATTTTTGTTTGCCGGAAGCTTCGAAGGAACCTTTCTCTCTGTAGGTAACCTTGATCCATCATTTGGTGGCTTGCTTCTTGGCGCACTTATTGCATCAGAAGGCAGCTCCGGCTCAAAAAACGTATAAACATCTTCGTCCTGGTGAAGCCATGAAAATTATCTCATCGTTAAAGGACATCAAACGGAGTTTTAATACCATGCATGTTTTGTTCAACAATATACGCGAGTATGAAACATCTCAAAGTAGTAAAAATGGTTTAAATAAGGATTTTTTTAATGCAAGATTGATGAGAATATTACCTTCTGCAGGAAATGTCCAACACAAAGGACATAATCAATTGGCGTCATCATCGATTTCTTGTGAACTATCTCTCCCAAAATACGATCGATAGCTGCCCCCTGGATTTAAATGAAATTATCAAATATGCAAGCAAGCATCTCCATTGCCACTATACCAAAAGTATTCAAAATAGATTTAAACAAAATCCATGTATGGTGAACAGGCAGTTACCTTTGTAACACCAACTGGTCGCACTTCAACTGATCGACTTCCCTGAACAACATCAAGAGATGCATTAGAAATTGGGCCGGTCCAGAGATGCTGCAGCATATCTCTTGCCTGAAGTCTTCCAAATTCGACATCTATAGACAAATAACACGAAAGGAAATACAAGACAGGTTCAGACAAGCAGGAGTGGTATCAATCAAGAGAAAACTCAAAATTCGAAGATCAAACGAAGTACCTGCATACTTGTAATTCCATACAAGTGACGTCTCACGGAAATCGAAATGTGATCTTGGTGTTCTGTCTCTGAAATACTCGAAAACATGCTGCCATCATGTCATCGGCATAATTAGGCAAAGCAAGAAAGACAAATTGGATGTAGAATACATTATGTACAATTTAGTTACCGTCACACTATCAACCCATTCCATATTCAAGTGTTCTGGCATGGTTGTCATCCAATCTCCCTTTGTATGACGTAGAAACATCCCATTTTCCGCAGCCAACCACATGTCATACTCCCCAAAGTCCTGCGAGAGCAATCAGTTGGTTTTGATAGAGGACAAACAAAGAATATAACAGAAAGAAAGCAAAAAAGTTCCCAGGAGTACCTCATCCAAGACATCTCTCTTGCTCCCACTAAGGACAACTATCGTTGTCTTTGGATCATTACAAAGAGCCGTTAAGGGCTCTTTTAAATGGGGGTGCAATTTAAGGTCCATTTCTTTGAATTGATCACCTCTACTCCCAGGAGTATCCACTGGTTCGGTTAATGTTGCATTAAGACCCTGAGTTTTGGGCCATCCCCAAGATGAGGTCAACAACATAGGAAGCATATGGAACATTAATAGTATGCCTCCGGTAAAAGAAGAGGGGAAAGGAACCGTAGAGCTAACAATCACATTATCATAGACAGTAATGGTTATATCACATAAAAATGTTTAAAGAAAGGGCAAATATCACTTGCTTTTAGTTGACACAAGAACAATCATACAGGCTATGGGCTTGATGTGTATCTTATACTTTCAGGCCTTGGATTAAAGCCTTTACTGGTAAAGGGGAATTTTAAAATAACAGAGATTATTGGTAAAAACAACCATACCAGTATCAGCAATCGGTTGCTAGACTGCAAGTAACGTTCCACTGCATCATTTTGAGGAAGCTCAGGAGGCTTTTTGCTTGTCCTTAGTTTTGCTTCAACAACAGTATCATTCAGTTCACTGCAAAGTATTTATAGGAAAATCAAATCTCTGTGAATTCTGGTAATTTTTCCATGACATGGTTAGAACAACAGAGACACATTAGTTTTAATGAGGGGGAGAAATTTCCACGTCATTATATTATTATTGGGTAATAAAATGTACTTATCTCGAGAGTGAACACAAAGAATTGGTACTGATGATCATCTCTAGCATTCACATGCTAAGGCACCTAAAGCTAAAAGCAAATGGGTGAGGTCCGATGCCCCAACTTGCCTACGCCCAGTTAGCCTAGTCTATATGATCAACATGTTCCAGAGGGTTTTGAAACTCTAAAGCAATAAAGAACAAGCCAAAAGATATATTTCAGAATTGGACACAAATTGAATGCATACCTTACAAATGTTTCAGCCCATTCTTGAGCAGTGTGCGATGTCACATGATGGAAATTGTGCTGATGTCGCTTCTCCCTTTCTTCAGCTGACATGTTCAGAGCCTGGCTAATAGAAGCAGCCACTTCAGAGATATTCCAAGGATTTACTAGAATTGCTCCAGCACCAAGAGATTGTGCAGCACCAGCAAACTGTAATATACATCAAGGGTATTAAGGTTGGAAAGAACTACTTTCACAAAAATCTGAGTACAGAACTGTAAACACTACGTGAAAAAAAGAATGTTGAATAACATAAAGGTCTTCAGTTTAGAATGAAAATCAAGTACAGAAAGAAACAGTTTTTTCAAAGAAAAAACATTCAAAGAATACTTTAAGTAGTAAATAATTACTTCACTGAGAACGAGAACCCCTTTCTTTGCATCCTGGCAAGCAACAAACTCATAGCTGACAAGGTTCATGCCATCCCTTAAGGACGTGACTAGCGCAACATCTGAAGAAAGGAGGAAATTCATCCATTATGATAGACATCAATCCACAACTAAATAACAGTGTAATGAAAATTTTAGTACTGAGAATCATATCTTGAATCAATCATGACCAAAAGGTTATCATTATATGAGCTTTGCATGGTGCAAAAGAAATATATTCTAAAACAGATTTTCACTAATCCCATGGATACTAATAAATATTTAAAAGGAATTGAGGGAACCAATTCTCGAGATTGCTACTTCTGTGACAATCGAAATTACAGGTTACAATGACAACTTCATAGTAAAGTCTCTAAACGTGGTTTTTTTTGCACAAAATTATTGGATTTTTCCAGATAAGATAAGATCTTTAGAAGTCTCAACTTTGTGAAAAGTTGCAATCCTTCAAAGTGCCAAAAGACAATAAAAACAACTTTATTGCATTTCACAGAAACACACATGAACTAATCATGCTTTCCATAGAATATTAATGGAAAGAAGTGAAATCAGGGTCTTTGTTTGTGTCTTGAGTACTAGCTGTAATTGCAACTACAGAAAAGAGGACTAATTTCAAAAAGTTCAGTGGTAAAACAATTAAGGATCAAACAAATAAACTGAAGAATGAAAAGAAAAAACAATTGAACAAGTACCAGTAACAGCGTATAATGCACATAGCGCAAGAAAGTCGAGAGAACGATCCTGTTCAGATGAAAAAAAGCATTGGAAGATACCCCGGTGATTAAAAATCCATGACAACAAACAATAACTTAAAATATGTTTTATCTTGCTTGTAGGAACACATTATCACAAACATGTTCAATTATTAAAAAAAAATTACAAAACATTCAGGAAAAAAAATACAAACCCTGAAATTTGACCTATTATGACTATTATAATTCATTCTATAGTTCAGACAATATATCACTCTCCTGTACATTAATATTTCTATTCTAGTCTAGCAAGTTCATAAAAGTAAAAGTTTTGTATAACTCACAGAATCCACAGAAGGCAAGTACTTCCTTTGCATTTAAAACTTTAGTCAATTTAGTGGACCTATCTTCCTAAGGCAATAAATCGCATGATCAAACTACAAGTATAGAGAATGTACCAGCAAAATCTCATGGTAAACTTTTCTAACTTTTTTGAAAGGGGAGGACAAAAGGAAAATAGAATGAAAGATATCCCATGTTTTTGAGTTCTTCGGTAGAGGATGTCGAGGCAAAATTACAACACAAAATTCTACTTTAGTAATGCTTTGAATCTGGGACATACTGTTAATTCTGAGAAAACCCCATTATGATAAATTCTCAACTCTACTCTAATTTCAAAACAAGAAAAGGGGAACTGTTTCTTCTACTCAATTCTACTCTCTCTTCCATTCAAAGTCCAACAGAAATGGCTAATTTTTAACATTTAACTTTCTGCAAGATGTTTCATATTTCACTACTACTTGAATAATAGCAGCCCAGCTGTTTTCAATCATCTTTAATACATGCACATTATGTTCAAAATAGGATGATAAAAAGATAAATACTAGTATGCCAAAATGACAGGCAACATGGTTCAAATAAAAGTATTCATGAAGCTAGCAGATAAAATACAAGCAAAGTATATAAAGCATGAAACTCAAAGACAGACCAGGTGATGAATTGGTACTGCAGTCAATGATCCAAACCGACCATTAATACGCCCAACAATTTCATGAACTTGGCTTGTAAGTTTCTGGTCTGTGGACAGTAAGTAAAATTAAGAGTAACAGTCAGCAAAACACACTAATCAGGAATTTCCCACATAATTTCATTAATGATCACATTAAGAATAAAAAATGACATGATCAAATTGAGTATGCACGATGAACCCAAGAAATAAGTAAGACAAAGTTGAAAACATTATCACCCAGCGTTTTCCATTTACTTCTAGAGTTCTTTAGTGAACAATATCAAATTCTTTTTCATTGGACAAAGAAACTGAAGCAAAGTTTGTGGAGTCAGGATCACTGTAAAGAGAAGAATGTTGATTGTCTTCAACTTCTCTCAGGAAGCAAAACATACTTCAGGTAAGCAATTGACGAATTAGAACAGCATATTTATATGTCAAAACCTGACACTATGCAGAAGCACGTAGAAGGGCAGTATGGTTTGAAGCCATCTTACACCATGTTCTAGTTCAGACTTCACAAGTAAGGTCCGGGAAAACTAAATCCTTTATAAACTAATTAACACTTTTTAACATATTTAGGCATACAAATGACGATATCATATTAAGTACAAAAGGAGAGTGAAAATTTCAGGCTCATTTTGTAGCTGCACTTTTCACTTTAAAGCTTCTAACTGCCAACTGATATTCCTGGTCTAACATGGTCAGTCAGCAACATCTGGAGGCTCTCTATGTCCAATGGCTAGTAATACACAATTGACAGTTCCAAAACAGATTTCAAAAACACCTACGCAACCGCTGCCCAAGATCCGACTCAAGATTACTAAAATATAACAAAAACAGAAAATCATATTTTATGGGTTAGCTTTCTTATAAAGGAAAACTAACTCCAGAAATATACTATACCTGGCAAACACATAAATAGTATTGGAGCACATATCTACAAACAAGAGAAAGGAAGAAGCATACATTCAGGAACATCAGTTCTCGTTGGCACTGCAATTTGCAGTAAAACAACTTTATCGCCCCAGTAAGGATTTTCCTCAAGGAACTTTTCAAATGCCAATATCTTTTGGGGAATTCCTTTAATCATATCAAGACGATCAACACCAAGCATTACCTGCCAAGTTTGGACAGTTAACAATAAGCACACAGGCAACAAATAAAATAATGCAATCACAACAAAATAAGGCCGCATGAGACTTATACTAAAACATAAAAAAAGGTATATAAGAAGTTTTTTTTTTTCTTTCTACATGGATTTACAAACATGTATGATGAGTTGGAAAATATTTCTAAATCTATTGCCTTGACTGGTGAAATAGAAATAAAACTGAAAAGAAAGAATTCAATCTAAAAAGTACATATAGCTACAATTGTTAGGTGATGTTATCCTACATTCATTAAATATAGGGTTTCTATAGTCTTATAAAGTTGGGCCTCTCCATTTAGTGCCAATTATTTTTAGGTTAGATGCTTAACGAGTACAGGTATGTATTCTGGTATCTCATTAAAATATTATAAACTATAAACACATATCACATTTCTATATATAGAATCAAAAATCAGTGATATTCATTAGTAATTAAAGCATGGCCTGACCAATGATCAGGGTAGAACTTTATATTTAACAAACACTGAATTCAGTCAAAACAATCACACAAAATGTTGATCCAATACTTGCAAAGCCAGAAATCACAGGATTCAAATTTAGAAACAAGCAAGCAGATGAAGAAATTGAAGAATATAAATAATGACAAAAGGTAAGTAAAGCATCTACCTTACGGCCAGAAAACCTTTCTTTCAAGTCTTTTATGTGTTCCTGGACCTTAGGAAGCTCAAGTGCGCGAATGAAACGCTCTGAGTCTATCCCAATAGGAAACTGATGTCTCAAGCAAGTAAAGAACCACAAAAACAAGAATAAGAATCCATTGCAACATGTTCAAAGAAAAAACATGTTTAAAACTAATATTCCTGGTACAACACAGGAAGCAACAAGGAAAAAAAATTGAAGGCATAAGAACAATCCAGTGAAAAAAAATAGGAATCCAACATACCGCAGCAACACGGGTCAGCCTCCCTTGATCCTCAACTCCTTCAGGTGTCCCCTCAAATCCAAGAATTCGAGTACACGCGCTAACAAAATGCCTGGCATAGTCATAGGTATGAAAACTGGAACATGTAAAAAAAATTGTTAAGTGCACATTAAGCAAACAGGTATACAAGTCTGAGATACACATTCTCAGAAGAGCTAGAATCAAAGGGAATTAACCACTTCAAAGTATTAAAACCTTTAGACCTATCAGAATCAAGTGCAATCCAGTCCATCTTAAATCCAAACATCTACACAAATAAGGATTTTTTTTTTCATTTTGCCAACTTTTCTTCAATAATGAATCACCTTTCCCTGAAAAGTTTCAGAAAGTTCGATTGCAAAAGGTTATGCCAAAACCACATAATTCTGTTTGTTTGGTTTAAACTATTGCACATGGTAGTTACATTAAGTGAAATCAACAAATTCCCACAACTAAACTAAGATAAGGGCTGAGAAAATGTCAGTGCAACAGAACTGCCAATGGACCTGGTATAAGTAGAAAGAAATACCAACTGCAAAAAATTGAGGGGTAAATAGGCTAAGAGTAAAAATATGAAGCTATACTATGCATATACAGATTTCATCCTTTGAGATGGATCGATAACTTATGTCTGAAAAGTAAAATATATCAATCATGTTAAATCAGCAGAAACCTACCCAACCAAGTCAGCAGCAAGAACTGAACGCAAAAGCTCAGATCTGGATGGCAGTGTCCTATGAATTTCAGAAGAAGGGAATGGTGTATGTAGAAACCAACCAACTTTCATATTGGTGTTATGTTTCTTCAGGCATTCTGGAAGATACATGAGGTGGTAATCATGGCACCAGACGACATCCCCCTCTTCATAGTGCATATTTACAACATCGGCAAACATTTGATTTGCTTTCTTGTATGCAGCAAACTGGGACTGGAAACTTCTTGTGGTAGCAAGGCGATCTTCTTGTGGAAGTCCAAGGTAGTGAAAAAGAGGCCACAAAATATTGTTGCAATAACCATTGTAGTACTGATGAACAATCTCTTCATCGAGGAATACAGGGATACACCTCTGCAATGATAAGTGCCATTAAAATAAGTCTCCTATACCGCATATAACCGGATTGCATTCCAAATAGAATGCTTCAAATGCAACTAAATACCTTTTCAGCTAAAGCCTTGGTAAGTGCCTTTTGTCCAATCTCGTCTGGAACGTTTACACCAGCCCATCCAATCCACCTTGCTTCAAATTCCTTGACTCCTGGAAAGTTCATCAAAATTATTATAGTCATGTAGTGGAAAATGTAGAAGCGTTGAAACATGAACAAAGTAAAAAGGGAGTCGATATCTTACCCAAGAGAGCAGTTACAAGACCTCCAGCACTTATTTCCAGTGACCACGAGTCTTCACCTCTCCTCACAGCAGAAACTGGAAGCCTGTTGGCCACTACCAACAGTCGCTGCCTGAAAGGCTTTCCATCTTGTCTTTCACATCCCTCTATCAATGCCCTTGCAGCTGCCGCATCTTCCAAGTATTTTTCGACCAAAGCAACCCTAGAGTTGTCACCTTCTCCAAAACGTGGGCCATTCTCAGATATTTCAGCTGCTTTATGAATATCATTGACTTCATTTGAATGGGAAGCTCTACTGCTTTTCCTTTGCTCCCTTAGCTCTCTCTCCCGCAAGAGGCGTTCCACACGAGTTGGTATATGGGTAGAATTACCATTGTACTTGTTTCCAGGCATACGCTCAATCTAGAAACCAACAACCAATAGCAATTTTATAAGCTCTCAGAATAATTTTATGTGCTGCATTTTTGATTTAGTAGATTAAGTGTAGTAATCAGAATAATTCACAGAAAGCTCAGTGCCTTCCGAAATTAGGTGGTATAAAAACAAGACTCAGCTGCCAATTATTTTGTACAAACAGTTATTAAGAATTCCATTGCCATTATAAACTTCTAATTGCTTGAATTTCACAAAAAAAGAAGTATCAAACAACATATAAACAAAAGGACAGAAAAAAAGGAAAAGATAACAAATCAAATGGGATCCACAGAATTTGATGCATAAATGGGGTCCAACCGTGAATTGTTAATAATTGAAGCCCAAGATTTCTTTCAGAGATAAAAGGAGCAGGTATGGCACATTAGTTGAGCAGAAACAAAGACAACATCCACACGGCTATCTAGTTCCGTTCATTTTTCAAAGATTCCACAAGAACCCGCCATCCAGTTTAAAATCCAATTCATTGCACGCAAACCATCAAAATTTTTTTTAATTAAAACATTAGTTCGTTAAACTAGAAGAATCTACCTTAAACTTAGTCTTAACACGTTTAAAATAGCAAAAATAAGAGAAAAGCGAAAAAGAAATCAATTCCCACCTTCAAGACCAAATCCTTAAAAACAAAAAAACCCAATATTTCCAATACGAAAATTTAACCTGCATATGCTTTTCTACAACACGTGAACTTCTGTATTAGGTACAGTTGAAGCAGCAAAGGATTAGATGAGAAAGGTAAAGAAATGAAACAGGAAATTTCCAGCAGAGTCTAGTTGTGGGTGGTAGAGATTTATGATAGCAGGAAAATAAGTAAGGCTGGAACACAATTCTTGTGAAATATTTATACGGGCACTTAAAGCCAGCCATGCAACTATAGGTGACACCAGAAAGAAAATAAAAGATCGAGTTGAAACGGGGAAGAAAAAGTTTTACCAACAAAAAACCCAGAAAATTAGTATAGTAAAATACTAATCCAAAACCTCGGAAGACGTAAGAAAATGGGACCATATCAATCAAGTAATTTAGTACGGTGTTTAAATTATTATTACTAAAAAATATTCAATGACGAAAGCACTTAGGGGATATCTTCAGCTTTGTTTTTCTACACGTTCCTCGGTGGGTCCTCATCGGATAAGACCACATGAGCATTATTCCAGCTCTTATCGGGAATTTAAACCCATTCTAAATAAATCTGAACCGCTTCAATTTTTGTTTATTTTAATTTTGTTAGTGATAGAACAAATAAAGCTTGTCCTATTTTCTAAAAACATCAAGAAAAAAATTTTAAACCATTTTTTCCTTTCAGTTAAAGGAAAGACAAGTTCATATTTTAGCATTAGCCAATGTCGTCAGCTGGTTTTGTCAAAAGGCTCGAGATATCAATGTACTACCCTTGAAAACCATGGCACACTCTAGAACGTAAAATAGGAGAAAACAAGAGCCGTCACCATTAATAAATTAATGCGAGAAGTACATAACTGTTTGGAGATGCTGTAAAATGGAAGAATGCGACTAAACAATAGTCTAAAAGCTAAAACAATAGTAACATCGTGGACACTTTCTCAGAAGTTGCAGGTATAAGAATACATAAAATTGATAAATAAGTCCACTCAGATTGCTATCATTAGTTGACTTGTTCATTACATTGTAATTGACCAAAGAAGAAAATTACTAAACAGTATTGAAAATTCTGGGCAATGCAACAATTAATCAGATCTTTAGAAGCAATTCAAATATGAATTTTTTTTCTTACATAGGAGAATATCTAAAAAAAAAGGCGTGGGAACTGCTAAGGTCCAACTTTTGGTAAGAGAAGATACTAGTAAATCGAAATCGATTTGGTCAAATTAGGTATACTCTTGCTAAACATAGGTATAAAATGTGATATATAGTGTAAATATATGTGTAACATGTAGAAAGATTTCAATACATTAATAGTTCAAAAGGAAAATAAGATTACCAGCCATGAATCAAAATTAAAGTTTTGGACTTTATATCTTAATTTTGAGTTTCACTATGTTTCGGCTCTTGGTCTAAATTTTATTTTATTTCAATCTCACCACGTGTGATCTTTTCAATTATTAGTCTAACTATATTTTGTGATAATTAATTATTGTGATAGTTATTTGGATGTGTAAAAGTTATAATTTATGAGGAATACTATTCTATATCTTCAATACCTAATTTTGATTTAAAATTTTAAAATAAATAATAAAAAATAATATTTAACTTAGGTTGTCGTCTAAGTTAAGAAGAAAATGTCTTAAAGGAAGGGCGCAAGCATGTGTGGCATGAGCCGCATTCTAGGCAAGAAAAAGAGCCATGTGTTAATCATGATTCATGAATTGTTTCAACTTTGACGAAACTTTTATTGTCCTCATTATGTTTTACGCTTCGAACCCCTCTTCACCTTCAAAAAGAATACATAAAACGTTTCTAGGTATTTTCAAATGTGTTTTTCATTTGGAAATAATTTATAAAAATTTACCATCTATACCAATCTTGTAAGAACTGGATCAGTGGCCAATGAACAATGTTCGTTGCGATGACATGTTAACCTACCCTAATGAGTGGGGAGCTATAGTACTTGCTAGAGGAAATTTCTGAACATCGGCTTGTGGAGAACAATCAAATGGGGCAACCGTTTCCCTGATGAGTGGGGAGCCACTAGTACACTTTTGCTGGAGGAAATTTCAGAATAAAAGGCAATTTTTCGACCTGTGGAGAACAACCAAATGGGGCAACGGTTTCTCTATTTTACTAGAGGAAATTTTGAAGTAACAGACATTTTCCCACCTTGGGAAATTGACGCAACTGAGAACAGACATGTTTTTTAAGTAGAGCACCGAAAAGACAAATCAAAATGCTTGGCCCTGACGTATTCCTAAATTGATTCCTTGAAAGAAAACCTGAATGATAATTGCTTTAACCAAATTAAACAGAGAGAACATATTAGGAATCCCCGTGGTACCTAACCTGATGTTTGAAAATGATTTGCCACCAACTTGTACTGTACGAGTAGACGAGTCGGGCACCTAACCTTGTAACACGCTCTGCACATTGCAAGCAAACTTTCCAAGTCAAAAAACAATGAGATTCCAAAGCATAAAGCTTGTAGACTAGTTAGAAAACAATTGACCAAAATCAATTCAAGTCGAGGAATAGCAACCAAAGAAACAAGAAAGAAAGATGAACAAAGACAGAAAAGAAAAGTGTATCCATGAAATTCGGCAAAAATGGATAAATTAAGCATTTTGGTGCTAAAAATGTCGAAGATTAATGGTACAGATGGGCAAGTAAAATGCTGCTACTTACGGTCTAAGAGGAAATGGGGATTGGGGAAGACCTGAATGAACTTATAGGCGAAGGGGGAAACTTTTGCTCTTCAAAAGTGTGATGATAATAAGCAAACAGAAATATCTTGTTTAAATGTCTTTTTGAAAGATGGCTATTATCGAAAGACAATACCGGAAAAGAACCATAAATCATGTGACTAAATCGATTGAAGGGAAGAAAAGGAAATGAGGGAAGACCAGAAAATTGACAGAAAGGACTTTGCATGCTGCTTTGTTCTTTCTTTGTGCTAAACGAAGGCAAGTGGGGTAGGGTTGGTATCATTGCTTGTGGTCAGAGATAGAAAGGAAGATACGGGGGATCCTAGAGCGTGAGTGCCCGTGAAAAGATACACATTGCGCGCCACTCGCCAGGGAATTTTCAGTGAAGGCATATAAATCTGTCACTCATTCACGAAAGGTTGGTACCCACAATTTGTGGGTCCCGAAAAAAAATTATGTCACAGACTCCTTGTCTGGACCTGGACTGGGGTTTGGACCTTGGCCTGGCCAAATCACCTGATGAGAAGATATTAATCATCCAGCCTGGCAAACACTTTCGTGGAAGCAAGAATGACCTCACAGCAATGTGAAAACACTGTAAAAAAAAACTCTGAATTTTATGTTGTGGCCTACGAAAGTATTTTTTAATGTGGCCTCAAGGAAATGTCACATCTAAAAACGTCTAAAACATGAACCTTGGAGCCTCAAAGGGAAAGTAATGGTTAGCTGTTGGCTAGTGGCTAGTCTAGCATAAAAAATCCTCGTTTTCATCTAATGAGATTAACGGAGAAAGTACTACGCTCTGGTTTTCCTCGTGATTTTCCTTGAAACTCAAATTACAATACAAGTATCATACAGAGAAATATAGCATACCTCGATTACGATTTGGTAAGAGCAAGAATGTACTCTTTTCTCAATATACAGATGAATCTGATTTTCAAATTCTACGTGTGACTTGTAAGTGGGGGAATATCTACATACGAAATGAAGACACGTAAATGCCCAGTTCCAATGGAGTTCTCACTCCCTCTTTCGCAATCAAAACAACTAAAATTAGAGTCATCCTATCCACTCTCTGTTTTTTTTAAGACCATCCTATACACTCTCAGAATAGCAAGATGGGCAGCAAGTTGGCCAGTTTGCTAAAAGAAATTGTCATTTTCTTCACTAATGATTTTGGCCCTTTTTCCTTCTAGTGTATAATCCTTGAACTACAACTATTGAACTTATTTCCAAAAGTTAAACACACTGCTGTCTACAAGGGTAGCTGAGACTTAACATATCAATCTCCTGGGTCTCACAGAGAAATATCCTCCGGCAAATTATGATATTTGAAAGTTCCAGATGCAATTGGCTGTAAAGCCAGCTATATGATTTAACTGCTCGAAAATGCAGCCTCCTCCAAAGCCATATTAATGACAAATCTGAGAACAACTTTCGCAGGGACCAAAATGTGCTTAACCTCAATTTTAATGGAATACTTGTAGCACAAGTTCTACGGTGCCTCATTAAAGGAACCTATTTCGTGCTTTTTCGAAGTCTAAGAACCAAAGAAAGTCTATGCAGCTCTGTCAGCCTCTAAACTCGGCTTCCACTAGAAGTAGCACCCTACCAATTGGCTACATACACTAGAATCTAACACACGTAAAAAAAACTTCAAAGACAAATATCGTATTTTAAAAACTAAAAGGAATCACAATATTTTAAAAAAATAAGAAGCAGCTTTTTATTGAATAATTATTTCTAAAAACTAATTACTTCAGTATTTTAATCTATTTTGTCAATAGAATTTTAGAATAATAAGTTATAATTAACTCTCATAATACCAATTTAGTGAAACCTTTCTAATTAATATATAATCTTATTGGAAAATGAAGCAATATAATTAGGGACTTTCCTAAAAACTAAAATAGTAAAATGTCTACAGATTATAATTTTCAATATCACCATATGAATCTAACAACTTTCCTATAACCGAATTTCATCCAAAGGATCAAATAAGTAAACGATGCCGGTTACTGTTTCCAAGTTCCAACTCGCAGCTGGAATTTACTTTCAGAGGAGTAAATTAGCCTTTTATATAAACCAAAAAACAGTATTGTCCTACGTTCAAAAAACAACAAAAAATCCTGATATGGACAGAGTCACTTAGAGAAAATAAATAGTAAAGTAATTATCATTATTGGAAAACCAATAAAATCTCGATATTACAAAACAAAGAAACAAAAGCTTTCTTTCTATATACTCCCAAATCTCCTCTCTCGTTTAACAGCAACCAAACAGAGTAGCCTCGAAAGTATGAAACTCATTTCTCAAGAAGAATTCTTAAACGGAATCACGAAAAACAACGATGAGAATCAACAATACCTCTAGTTATCGGAATTCCAAACAAGAATAAATAACAATAATAATCAATATTTTAATATTCAAACTCAAACAAAACAAATAAGAAAAACATAAAAGAAGCGGAAAAGAATAAGAAAGGAGAAAAACTAACCTCGAGAAAATGTAGGAGTA